CTTACTAGCTGGCAACAATTGTACAATACAACACTGCCAACTGACAGTGTATGAACCTTTGTACAGCTTAACCTTACTTAGTGTCGATTGCTGGGGATGTGATTTCCTGAAACAGAACTTTGCCCCCTGGTATAAATTAAAAAGTTGTTGAGGATTGCTAGTTCGGCTGCTTCTTTGTCTTTTTCTTTTGTTTGTTGTAGATTTTTCATTAAAGAAACATCAATAAAGTAATTTTAAAACTGTTTATWGGAAAACTGAAGCGATGCATTCTGGGTACATGACGGATTTGATTTGTAACTGGAAACAAAAGCATGGAGAACAGGAAACTAGTATCTTCCCTTCAAAATAAGAGCTTGGATTTCAAAGTTTTTCATGTTTCCATTGGATTTTAAAGTTTTCCAGTTCACCTGAAACTCATCAGACAGAAGAAGTCTCTTGGAGGAGAGATGAAACGTTTCACTAAAGAAGAACCCATCCAGAGGACCTACTTATGTTTTCTTTTTGATTTTTTCTACCTGGATTAGGACGTTTTCCATGTAGTTGCTCCAGTTGACCACTAGATGTCAGTCTTCACCAGCATAGCATCTTTAAATCATTTCTGAGTCTCTAACATCATTGGCCGATTTGCTTTGACCAATTATGTCAAGTATTGAGCTCCAGCATTTAAACTTTATTTTTTTAAAGGAGCTCCGATTGTAAAGTAAAATAAATCAATACATACAAAATTTTAGTATGGATTACAAACGTTAACTGTTTTTGTTATTGCCTTCCTGCTACGTAAGCAGACACAAAGCATTGTGGGAAATCAGAACTGTGACCGAAAGCAAGAGTCCGAAAGGATGTATATCTGCTCAATAAGTGCGTTTATCTGGGAGGGGTGCTGTTGTAGATCACATGTGTTGTGATTCATTGACAGTCAAACCTTCCAATGTTCAAGATAATGATAACTGGTAGATAATTACTTATTAGTGGTACTGCATTTTAATTTTAGAAAACGCAAATTCACTTATGAATTATAAATATTAGCAAGATCGCTAAAGAGCAAACAAAATATTTAGGTCTGCGATTAGCAGATTTGCGCTTTAGCGGGCTGGTGCCCACCACTGTGTAGTGAGTTTATGTGAAGAGGAAAGTGTTCGGCTGATGTTCGGCTGATGGTTACCAGCAGCAGGAAGCGGTGCTTCAGCTGTTTGTTGGGTTGGATGCAGCCGTACTGCGGACCCTCGTTGTACAGGGTCCCCGTGGGGTCGAAGAATGGCACGTAGCCGTCCCTGCCGGTGCACAGGTAGACCTTCTCCAGCTGCAGCTTGTAGGCCGCGTTCAGGTTCTGCTCCGGGTTCCAGAGAACCCTGCCGTACAGGGTCTGACCTGCAGGGGGCGCCGAGCCGACAGGTTTATAAAGAATGACCAGTAAAACAGGTTTTCTCTTCAGTTCCTGTCGTACCCATGGAGAACGCTCCCTTGTAGTCCATCTCGGCCATGGAGATGTGGGCGGAGGCCGGGTCCAACAGGAAGACCTTCTCATTGTTGCACAGCTGGAACTCGGTGTTCAGGGAGTAGACGACAGGGACGGGTCTGTTGGTCTGCTGGAAGGCGATCGGGACCAGAAACCTGTTGGAGGAGGATTCAAGAGTTTTATTTTTTTAATTTAAACCTCAGAGTCTGGTGATCCTCTGCAGCCAAGGACCGGACCTCTCTGGAGCGTGAGCGGTGCAGGACAGAGGTTTGTCCCCCGGGTCGATCCAGGGCTGGGTGGGCTGCACCGTGCAGGGGATCAAGAAGACCGTGTACTCTCCGGAGTAGTCCTTCCTGTCGAAGAAGAGTAAAAAGCAAACGTTCCTGAGGTTTAAACACCTGTTGGGTTCTGTCTGGTTCTGAGTGGACCTGCGGACCTGCTGTAGGAGCTGGTGGCCCTCCACAGCTGATACGGCGAGTCGAAGGTCTGAGCGCTCCACAGCAGCTGCACGTCAAAGTCCACGCCTCCCAGGTGGTCCGGCGCCGTCAGACGGGACTTGTGACCCGGCAGGGTGTGGTGCTCCAGGACGAACTGACCTGCAGGTGGAGACAAAAGTTCTTTACTTCACATTAAAAGTGCGATACCAGGACCTCCACGCAGGACCCGTTAGAGCCCACCTCGGAACTTGGCGTGAGTCTTAAACTCGATCACCAGCCGCCCGTCCTCTCTGATGAAGATCCTGATGATCTGCAGCCGGGCGGAGAGGACGCTGTCCGTCTGGATGCCTGCAGAGACCGACAGGAAGAGGAGAACAAACCATCAGACGGATGTTTTATTACAGAAACAGAATCTGCAGCTCGTCTGGATTCATCTGTTCTAAAGTTTGACCCAGTGAAGAAAACATCAATTTAAATCAAACCTCTCCTGAATAATCTATCATAATCCTGAAGGTTGAAGTCTAAATTCAGACAAAGACATCGCTATTAGCTTTTAGCAAACTTTTCACTAGTTTTAGCTTCTAACTCATTTTATACTTTTAGCTAGCCTTTGCTACTTTAAAATATTAGCCAGTTCAATTGATACTTTTAGCTTTTAGCTAAATATTAGCTACTTTTAGAGAGCCATTGATAACTTTAGCTTTTAGCTAGCATTTTCTGCTTTTAAAGGATGTTTTGCCACATTTAACTATCCCATATTACATTTAGCTTTTAGCTACTATGTAATATTTTCAGATTCCATTAAGCTTTTTATCACTTTTAGCTAGCCTTAGCTACTTTAAGACATTAGCTATCCTTTTTAAATGTAGAAATGTTCTTTGTTAATCTTAGCTTTTACCAAACGCTCTGCTTTTAAAGGGTGTTTTGCTACTTTTAGCTTTTAGCTACCTGTGTGCTACTCTTACCTTATTGCTTTTTATTACATTTAGCTTTTACCCAGCCTTTGCTACTTTCAGCTTTCAGTTAGTATTTCACTACTTTTAGCCTTTAGCTAGACTTTGCTACTTTTAGCTTTTAGATAGCATTTCACTAGCTTTTATTTAGCCTTTTGATACTTTAAGATAGCCTTTGTTAATTTGAGTTTTTATGCATCTTTTTCTGTTTTTATAGTGTTTAGCTTCTTATATTCTACTCCTTCCTTTTACATTTCTTTTATTAAATTTAGCTTTGATATTTTAGCTTCTTTTCTTTGCTACTTTTATATTTTAGTTACTTATTTGTTTTATTTTAGCTAGCTTTGCTATTTTAAGATTTTAGTCAACTTTTTGATACTTTTAGCTTCTAGCTAGACTTTTGATACTTTTATCAATCCTTTGATTGTTTTAGCTTTTAGCTAGACTTTCAGTACTTTAAGCTTTCATTTAGCCTTTTGATCCTTTTAGCTATCCTTTGCTACTTTCAGCTAATATTTTTTCTACTTTTAGCTTGAGTTTTGATATTTAGCTAGCTTTGTTACTTTAAGATTCTAGCCAGTTTTTTGCTGCCTTTAGCTAAACATTTAATGTTTTTAGCTAGCCTTTTGTCACTTTTAGCTGGCTTTTCATACATTTAGCTTTCAGCTAACATTTTGTTTTGCTAGTTTTCAGCTTCTTTTGGGCTTAAAGACTCAGTTTCAGTGGTTTGTGGTTTTGGTTCTGACCCGTCCTCCAGAGAACCGTGTCATAGAAGAAGGAGAACTCCATCTCGGTGTGATGCTCCAGAGACGCCCAGCCTCTCGGCGCCGTCACGTAGATGTAGGACACGTAGAGCGGGACCTGCACCGTCAGGAAGGACTGAGCCGAGTCCCGGACCTAAAGCCAACGACAAGCTTTAGTTCTAACATCCCTAAGATCCCCGTAGAGACTGCAGAAGGACCGGCGCACCTGAAAGTCCGCGGTGACGGAGCCGCCGCAGACGTCGATGAGCTCAGTCATGTCGTAGAAGGCGTCGAAGGTCCAGATGCAGCTCTTCAGGTTCAGGTGTTTGTAGAACTGGATGGTTTTAGCCTCGCGGACGTTGGGGTTGAACTGGTAGGGCCGGTCGTAACCCGGCCCGAGTGAGATGCTGTCATAAGAGACGTCGTCCAGGAAGCCGGAGTCTGTGGAGGACAGGTTGAAGACGAGGTGAGTGGTTGAACAGTTCTGGTTACAATCTAAAGACGTAAAAACTGACCGGACAGGCCCTGCAGCTCTTTGATGGTGACCAGGTTGGAGCAGACGTGCTGCTGCCGGTAGATGGACTCCGACAGCAGGAAGTGCAGGTTGTGCAGCGGCATGGTGGACACCAGAGGGAGCATGCCGTCCTGATGGGGAATCTGCACTGAGATATGGATGCTACACACAGCAGAGTCAACGTCAATAAAAGAATAACTAGAGAATTACATTTCCTGCGAAAATGCTAGTGTGAATGCCTGCTGCTGAAAACTTTAGCTGAAAGCTGCTGAATTGAGCTGAAAATGTTTAACAGCAAAAATTTTATTGTAAGGTAAACTTGGCAAATCTGAAAGAAGAAAAAAAAGCAGACAACCAGTAAAAAGGAGCAAAAATATAGCTTAATTAGCATAAAAAACTAAAAGCTAAAAGAGCTGAATATAGCAGAAAGCAACTGTAAGAAGCATAAATAACTCAAAATAGCAGAAAGAAGCACAAAAAGTTCAAATTAGCAGAAGAATAACAGCTAAGATACTAGAAAAAAGTGAAAACTTGCAAAAAAAAAGCTAAAATTGTCACAAGTAATTTAATAAGTGCAAAACCAGAATATAATGTGTAAGGTTCTGTAAAGATTTAGAAACATTATGAAGAAATTGAAGGATGCTGAAAAAAGCTCCATTCATTTCCAATGGGAAAAAAGGTAGCCGAAATAGCTTTGGCTACAATTGCAGACTTTTTTGAGGCTTCAATATGTGATAGAGCATGCTCTCAGCTACCAGTACBTAAGTTTTCATGTCAATATCTCAAACATTGGCAGAGTAAAAGGCCTTTAAAATTAGCTTTGGTGGCCATTTTGGATTTTTTTTCAGCTGCTATTTATGATAAAGCTAAGTCTCAACTACCAATATATTAATTTGCAGCTCGTTATATCAAAAATTGGCTAAATTCAAGTAATTTGAACAAACTTTAGCTAATAACAGCTGATCATTAGCTAAAATTGCAGCAAATAACTGAATATTGCATAAAACAACTGTAGGAAGTATAATAGGCACAAAGTGGAAGAAAGAATGACAAAAAGTAGAAAATAGCAGAGAAATAGCAGAAATAAATAGCATTTTAGCTGAAATAGCAGAAAAAAGCTAAAATTAGCAAAGAAGTGGCAAAAATTAGCACAAGGAAATTCAAAAGAGCATAAGCAGAACAAATTGTGTAAGGTTTTGTAAAGATTTATAAATATTTTGAAGGATATTAAGGTTGTTGAAAACAGCCCCATTCATTTTCAATGGCAAAAAAAGTGGGTAATAAATTGATATAGCTAAAAATGTATAAATAGCAGAAATACCAAAAGTCATAGCTGGAATGTCCTGAATGAGTTGAACGTTTTGATGTATGAATTGTTGAAATAGACAAACGTACAGAAGAAAAAATGATCTCAATATTGTGAATACTGCAGGGGTGTCACTAGGTTTTAAGGACAAGGGGGGCTTAGCCCCCAGGAGATGCGCAGCATTTTTGTATATTATATATTTGTACGGTGTGTGTGTTTTATATATATGTATATATGTATATATAAGGGGTGCAACGATACAGGAAATTTACGGTTCGGCTCGATACTTTAGTCTCACGATTCGATATTTTTTCGATACAATAAAGAGAAATGTCCATGCCCCTTTTAACTTGTAATTTATTTATATTAATTATGAACATTTGTTTCACCTCAAAAATACAGTTTTTAAATTAAATGTTGCTGAAACAGCAAGTTTCTCAGTGGATCTGCCCTGAAAAATGCAGCCTAGGTGGAGTAGTCGAACACAGATCCACTGATCCTTCAACACAGAGCATCTTCAGAAGACAAGTTGATAAAGTAAGTTTTTAAAATCTGTATTGTTCGATACAGTTCGGTACGGGCACATGTATTGTTGCACCCCTAATATATATATATATATATATATATA